TATAATTTAAATTACAAAATATAAATGTTATCTAAAAAAACCTATGCAAACCAAAAAAAAAAAAGTGAGGAAAGACCAAGACTTTTAGCTAGGTGCTCAAATGCCAATCGCACACACATACAATGACATCAACAGCCAACACCAATCACACAATCAACAAGCAATAGTTTTACGCACTTTCACTTACACAATTAATCACACATTCGGCTAAATTTAACAAATCATCTACTAATAGATGTTTCTTAATCTAGTATTAATTGAGTAAAAATTATACTAGTAGCTATTATGAAATACTGTTTCTTGATTTCTTAATTAACTATTAATTGTTGACTAATGTGGATTGAGATTTTACCCCGTTTTCACTTGAACGCTCATCGGTGATGATAGCATCACTATCGTTCATGTTCTCTTCTGCGGTTTCCTGAAGTTGCAATGTAAACTCCAATGCCCACACGATATCCCTCATCGTCGGCCGTTCATTTCCACATTCACGCACACAAATCTCCGCGACCTCACCGAACTTCTGCAAGGCGATCGGCTCAATCTGACTTACAAGATACGGATCCACGATTTCATCAAGGCTTCCTTTTTGATAACAACTACGGGCCCATTGTGCCAGGCCCACTTTCTCCTCCGAATGGCCTTGGAAGACTGCTGGCTTGCCGCACAACACCTCAAACAAGACCACGCCAAAAGAGTATACGTCGGATTTCTCCGTTAGCCGCTGCATGCGATAATATTCTGGGTCTATATACCCGAAACTACCCTTCACTGTGGTGCTGACGTGGGTCTCGGACGTGCTTGTAGGACCCAGTTTCGACAAACCAAAATCTGAAACCTTTGCCACGTAATTTTCGTCCAACAATATATTTGATGATTTCACATCACGATGGATGACAACATGCTTTGCCTCTCTATGAAGATAGTGCAACCCACGCGCCGCCCCAACGCAAATCTCCAGTCGTCGTTTCCATGATAATGGCGGGTTCTTGGTTTGGTCGAGATGATCACAGAGTGTGCCATGTGGCATGTAATCGTACACCAGGATCATTTCACCGTGATCATCACAGTATCCGATTAGAGAAACGAGATGCATGTGTCGAAGCTTTGAAAGCATGGTGATTTCGGTGTGGAACTCGTGGACCCCTTGCCTTGATGAAGGGTTTAACCGTTTGATTGCAACAGTGGTGGTCTCACCATTGATAATCCCTCTATAAACGTTACCAAA